TAAGATTCTCATCGACATTTCCACTGGCAGTAAAGAACACAGAAGTCCTGCTTGTAAAATGTACGGAGGAAGTGAGGAGGGAGAAGAGGGTATGTGTATATAAGCAGTACATGGAACAGAAAGAGGTTTTCATAATTTGACTAGGCTTAAAGGAGACAATATGGGGTGTGATAAGTGACCTGCTCAAACCCGTTACAGTGATACTGTAACAGGAATGGATGGGGTCTGGTTTATCAGGGGATGGCGGTGTTCTCTCACACACGGGGAAGGCAAGGTTCTCGGGGAGCACATGTGCAGGAGCGAGCTGTCCCGGGAACCAGAGGGAACAATGAGGAAATGGTGGATGCATGGATAAGGTGAGAATTCCGTGACGGGTGGTGAGAATGGGCAGAGGTGTGGGGAAGTTGGGCTTGGGAGTCTGGGTGGAAAAAAGGGTGGTGGAAATTCTTATCCAACAAATTACTTATAACCAAGTAGGAAGCCAGCAGGCAGAAGGTCTTTGGGGGGGGCGGGGGGGGCAAGAGAAGGGGGAAAGGGTGGCAGTTCAAGAATTGGAAAAGATGACCAAGGTTTTAATTTTCTTAAGTCCCTCCAAGACACTCCCCGAGATTGAAGGACTGTGCGTGCCTGGCGGAGAGTTATGACGTGCCATGCGCACAGACAGCACCAACTAGGCGATCACAGAGAAACCCCTTTCACTTGTTCCCCAGTCTTCTCAACATTAAAAAAGACAAGATAACACACTAATGTCACATTTTGAGAAAAGGGTTTGGTCAAGTTAGTATCTGTAAAAATAAGTAGACATTTCCAGTGCCTACATCTGCAGTGCAACTTTCTTTCAGAATACATGCTTTCGTGTCTGCTTCAAATAGCCTATGAGATCGATGGAGGCACCCGAGACCTCACCTTCATTTGGGGAAACTGAAACTCAGGAGGGGTGAAAGCGCTTTCACCGGGGGCGGTCTACGGTAGCACAGCTCCATGGTTCTGCCCCCACGTCCTGCGTGGAAATGAATGCAAAACACACTACGATGCTATCTGCGGGTTTAGGAATTGCCCAAGTTGTCAGCAGAAGCCCGTGAGAATGTCAAGTCTTCCATCAGCCAGCCTCTTGGGACACAGACTGTGACAGCAGCCTAGGCCTTAAAATAGATGAGACACCACAGATGACCATGGTTAGGTTTCACGTGGTTTGGTTGCGACTGCACCACACTGGCGTGGAGGCGGTGAGGAAAGGGGAAAGTGTTCTCGTAAACAGAAATAAACCTTCTTTGAAATACACCTCTGCTCTCTTGCTAGATCACTGCGTTTTTTGAAAACAAAACAGGCGCTAACTAGCAGGCAGCAGCGGGACAGCCTGGGCTGTGCGGCTGAAAGGCACTCTGCTGGGGGCACTCCGGGCCCGCTGTGGTCCCAGGCTCTGGCTGGGGCAAGGCGACCAGCTTTGCTAGCGGGGAGAGTGGCAAGGCTCAGCCTGTGAGAGCGGTCTCTAGGGGAGGGACATAGGAAGTCTTTACTTCAAAGTCTAGGTGGCGGTTTATTTTTGAGGTAACAGGCCATATTTCTTCTGAGAGGTGAACATTAGAAGTACAACAGAAACAGCAATTCCATCTCAAACACCTGGTGAGAGAATGATGAATGATGACTAAGTCGGGAGACACCAACCGCCCACAGCTGGGAGGAAATGAAGTCCAGAGAGGAACGCTTGGGAATCAAGGCGAGTGTTCACGAGAGAGAGGGAACGCAGCCGCGTGCACTGGAGAATGGCTGCACGTCAGCGCCAAGGGGCACCCAAGCCTCCGTCTCCCCACCAGGAGGCTGGCAGAATGCACGTCGCTGAGACTTTTGTCAGCGGGCGCGGGGGATCTGGGGCCTGCCCGAGTTCTGCCAGTAGCTCGTGACGGGACTTTAGGAAGGCACATGTCACCGTGGTCCTCCACGAAATGGACCACATGTTCTGGGGGATGTACAGGGTAAGACTCTGAGGACTAATTTGGAATTTGGGTTCTGTTATTCCAACTTGGTAAAACATGCCAAATCTGGATGTGTATGTTCCCATGAAAGGTATTTTGCTTCCCACTAGTTTTTACATGAATTTCAATGCATCGTGAAGACTCGCTCTTAGCGCGCTAACAGCCTCTAAGGTGAATGGCAAACACAGCAAGAGCTAGGTCTTCAGCAGCCTTGAGGATATTGATACGGCATTGTCTCTCCTCAGCTGGACTTAAACTCGACAGAGGCCCTGCTTCTGTTTCTTTCAGCACCAACATTTATTGCTCATTTTATAACTGGAAGAGGAATTCCACGTGCATTCAGCAAATGAATCCTGACTTTTCCCTTGAAGACATCAAATCCATCTCCCTTTCAGTCACCTCTATTACCGTACCCATCTATTCATGCTCACTTATAAGTCACTCCAAACGCTTCCTCCATCTCTCTCCTCTTCTAAACTCAACTAGCATTGCTAAGAACCTGAACCTCCTCCTTAACCACCCACCGGCACTGTTCCCCAGTATCTGTGGGCCCCCATGCAGTCATCCTCAGCCTGACCACAGGGTCTGCTGCCCTCCTGCGTGTGCCCCCCCACCAGGGCACCCCGACTGCTCCACGCCACGGCCTGGCCCACCCTGCCTCCAAGCCTGCGCCACTGCACGTGCTCTTTTCCTCCACACGCCATTCCTAGTCTCCTGTTGACTTTACTTCTTTAATGACCGAGAGGCATGTGGCTGTGCTGTAACTTTAATTAGGTCTTTACCTTTGGGAGGTTTGGCAGGTTGACCAAGGTACAGTGGGCACGTAAGATTGGACAACAAATCCCCCTCCTGGTAGTTAGCACATCCATCACCTCACATGTTAACTTTTTCTTGTGGGAAGTTCTACTCTTAGCCAATTGGACAACCACACAGTAGGTGCTGTCCCCAGTTACCTGCTGGAACTGGCGCCTCAGGCCCGATGCTCTGACAACGACCCAGTCCTCCTCCTACTCCAAGACCTAGAGCACGACCTGCCACCTGCTTTGGTGTGCTCCCTCCAACAGCCTCAGGCCAGGTGGCCCCGCCCTTTCTGAGCCTTGATGTCACTTACCTGGACGCGTGTTTTCTGCAGGTAGGAGAAGCTCTAACTCCCGCTGAGTCTCTTTGAGAACATTCTCCTGCTCTGGGCCTTTGGGGCTTTCCCCCTGTACCCTGGACACCCTTCCCAGAGTGAACTTCATGCTGTTTATATTACTTTTTCAGGCTTTTACTCACTCTCCACTTCAGATCCTTTAACACTAGTGCACCTTCAGCTGCTGCCCCAATTCCCATCACGCTCAGCAGTCTTGGCATTGAGCACAGCAAACATGTCTGTTCTGCCTTGCGCCCTAGCTGAGCAGGGGCAGGGACTGTCCACTGCTCACTAATGTGACCCTATTTCAAAAGTGCCTGGTATTTGCCGGTGCTTGAGGAAGATTTTTTGAATTCATTCACTACTAAAAAGCCAAAAGCACCAATACATGACTAACAATAATAAATAAATGCTAATAGAAAATTTGGAACTATGTACTCCGTGTTTGCCTTGTAATATTATATATACTCCTAGTGTTATTATGTGCAGACTATTTTCCTTCTTGACAAAACAAGGTTTAACGAGGTGAAGTAACCTTCCAAGAAAACACAGCTGAGACTTATTACTGAACGTCAGTCTTAGATCTATTTACTACTAAAAATAAGCTGTAGGCAGGGTTTATTCAGCTCTAAAAATCTGAATGCAAACTAAGATTCTTTTTTGGATAGAAGGGAAGAATTTCTCCAGGGTTTAGTTGTAAAATCTTTTTTTTTGCCCACAGCTGTATTTTAATTGTGCCCTCCTGTAATTTTTCTGACACTTTTACACTCTGTTTTCATCTACCCTTCATCTGCAAGTAGAGAAAATGTTCTGAATCATGCCATGACTTCATTAAAGAGGTGAAAATTCCACCTTAAAAAAAGCACCTTAGTTCTCACGTAAAGGCCAAGTACAGAGTGAGTAGCCACAGCAACAAGTGAAAGCATCCATAGAGGGCAGAGGGGAAAAACAAAGAACGAGTTATTCATAATTACCAAAGATTCTCCAGTGCAAGAAGGGAAAGAGGAAGTCTATTTTCAGTGACAATGATGAGTCTGGAAACATCAGCGAGCAAGGGGAGAGCTCTCACGGGAGACCGCCCTGCAGGGAGCTCTCTCCCTCACAGACTGCCATTCCCAGGGCCCAGAGGGGCTCCAGGCAGATGCACCACCCCTGACCTCCGGGACCTTGGGAGTTGAGCTGAGGACACCAGGAGTTTCTCGGCTGCGGTGAGCCTCCAGGAAGCATCCAGCGGCAGAGTGACACTTGGAACCAGCTTGCCCCAAGGAGGGCAGACCTAAAGGCCCTTGGGTTTTATAGGAAAAGCTTAGGGCAAGGGAAACTGAAACTGAATTACCAACTCAGTGAGTTACAGGAAGAAACCCTCCTGGTTCCCCATTCCTCTGCTAGCCTCCGTTTGCTTTCCTTCCCTTTACGCATCAGTCCACAGGTTATTTTGGGGGCCAAGTACCAGAGACCTGCCCGCCCAGGCCCAGGAGGGCTCACTTTTGAGACTCTCGTATATACTTAAGTACCAATTTCGGGTTCCAGAACAAGACTGAGACAAAGAGGCCTGCGGGGAGGGAAACGTGGGGAGAAGAAATACTGTGAGGGGTGGTGACCCACTTTACATTACCCACGTGTTTACTGTTACGTGTGCATGGTTTCTCTTTAATATGCGAACATTGGCCTTCTGATGAAAACCTTCCTTTTTGCCAGGAAAAAAAAAAAGACATGCAAAAAGCCAACGCACAAGTCTCCGGGATGCATAGCTCTTCACACGGAACCCAAGCACCCCAGCCAAGCCAATAAAGGCCACCGAGAGTACAGAGGGGCGCAGTGGGGGTCGAAGGAGAGACGGCCGCCGCAGGGGATCAGCTCCCGCGCTCAGGGCGCCCACCGATCCGCTCACTCACCAGCGGCTCTGTCCCTCGCTGCTCCTCATGGCCCGCCGGCTGCTGCTGAGCCCATCTCCTGCCTCACAGCACCACAACTCAACACGACCCGGGACAGCGGGCAATCTTGACGGGGCTGCTGCCGAGTGCTGGCCAGCCTGGAGGAGAAGGCAAGTGGGGGTGAGTTTGCGGGGAAAGAGGCACATGCATCTGCTCTGGCAGCTATGACAGAAGGAGATAGCTCCTCTTACTCCATTGACTGTTGATGGATTTAGAGTCAAGGGATCTTTCCGCAGAGCAACGAAACTCCCAAACGCGCCACAGTGACACTATGTAAGCTTTGGAGAGGGCACGGCAGAGCCATGGCAGCTCTGCCTCCCTCGGGGTCCACACAGCTTACAGTGGTAAGTACCACACGAACCCGGACCGTGGCTTATATTATCACACCTCTTGATTGCAAGAGGTTTCAGCCTTGCTGGCCCAGTATCACATGGGTGTGATGCTGACCTCACGCACTGACATTCCGATTGGCTGGGCTACAATGAAGCCGGTTTTCCAGGTGACTCACGCAGGGTAGAGAATCACTACTTTCAGCCGGCAGACTTGGTGAGCCGCAGCACTCACTTAGGTCGTAAATAGCAGAGATTCATTCACAGCGTACTCACGGCGACAAGCATGTGGCCCCTGTGCTCCAGGGCTTTAATTTAGCAGAAGAGATTGGACACTTCAAAAAGATCACCCAATAAGGTACACACTTGAAAAACACAGCCACAGTGAGAGGTAGAGGGGCCTGGGTGGTGGGGGTGGGGGGAGGTGAAATACACAGGCGCCAGGTAAGAAACTGCACCTGAAACAAGGCAGCGTGTAAACTAGTGTGACATCTATGGGGAGGAAAAAGCATGCATCGCCTACAGGGCCAGATGTGGTGAAACTCGTGGGCACTACACAAGCATGGAGCACCAGGGCCCGAGGCAGGAGCAAGTGCCTGAGGACAGCCTTGTGAGTCCACGGGTGAGGTTCGGGAAGGACCGAGGAACAAAGAGCCGGCAGAGCAGCACGGACACATACACCTGGATCGGGCCTTTAAGAGGATTTCTCTCGGGCCTCCCCGGTGGCGCAGCGGTTGAGCGCTGGGTTGCGAAGCTGCCCGCGGCCTCTGCGGCGCCGGTTCGATCCCCGGCTGCTCCCCGGCCACCACAGGAGGGTCCCACAGGGCGCGCAGACCTCTCCTGCCGCCCGCTGCTCCCCTCAGCAGTGTACTTCGGTCCTTCTGCCTGCTCTGCTTCCCGCTCTGGCTCTGGTGAATTCTCCCACCCTCCCGCGCTTCTGACTGTACCCAGTGCATGTATAAACAAAACAAACAAATAAATAAATAAAAGCATGCCTCTATTAAAAAAAAAATTAAAAAAAAAAAAGAGGATTTCTCTCAAGGACCATTGTAGGAATCTGAGGAGGGAGCGTGGAGGAGGAGGTAAAGAGTACTGGTGGGGAGAGTGAAGGAGCTGGGCCATTTTCCAGACTGGAAACAAAATGTGGGCTAATGTTGAGGGGTATCGAAGGCTCGTGTCCTGAGGGTGTTCATCGGTTTTAGGGTAAGTGACTGTAGCGTAAGGTAAAAGGTATCAGGCTTTTCTGCCCTCCCGCCATCAGGATAGATGATGGATCCCTGCAATCCTGAATGCATGCCTGATGGCGGGCACCTGGAGTAGGGTGTGGGCATAGGTAGATGGGATTCACCTGGGCTTTTAAGGGCGGCGTCACGGGGATGCGAGCAGAAGCCGAGAGAGAAGCAAGAGAAGCAGAAGCTGAGAGAAGGCCGGAGAGCCCAGAGTGAAGACCTGCTGGGGGCTGGGAGGCCTACCAGCCTCCCGGCCCCCCAGCGCCCCTGCCTGCTGTGTACCTGGTAATCCCAATAAAAACCTGCCAAACCACTGAGGACTCTGACTCCTCCTTTACCCAGTCTGCTGGATTCTAGAAAACCTGCACTGTGGTCTTCCTGACCCTACAGTGATTATCAGGCTTTCTGTCCTCCTGCCTTTAGGATTAATGATGGACCCCCGCAGTCCTGAATGCATGCCTGATGGTGGGCACCTTCAGCAGAGTGTGGGCATGCGTAAGTGGGTTCACCTGGGCTGAGACGGGGCTTATAAGGGCTGTGGCGCAGAATGGAACAAGCAGAAGGAGAACGAGAAGAATGAATGAGAAGCAGAAGACAGGGAACAAGACCACCACGAAAGAACGCTGGAAAGCCCAGATAGAGTGAAGATTCCCCAGGGGTCAGGTGGTCTGCCAGCCTCCCAGCCTGCCATATATCTGGTAAAATGGCAATAAAAGCCTGAAAAGCCACTAAGGGCCCTAGGACCCTCCTTTACCCATCTGCTCGGATCATAGACATCCTGCTCTATGCCCTTCCTGCCCCTACATTGCTCTACCAGGTTCTCAGGAAACGCAGTGAGGAGAGGGGTGCCCTTGGGCTCAGCAGGCTGCGAGCAGGCGTGGGGGATGGCCCCTTGAGGACCGGCACAAGATCAGGTCCTGGAGGAGGAAGTGTGGTAATGAGCGATCACCTGCTCGTGGGAACCAAACCAGCCGACTCTCAAGGAAAAACACAAAGTTTTAGTTTGCATCTAGTTTCTCGTGGCCCAGTCACCCCTAACAAGAAGCAGGCGTGGTCCAGGGAACACCCGCCCATGGAGACGACAGGCTCCTGCCAGAACACAACTGTGCTGCGGTCCACGACCTGGCTGCCTGGAGCTTTGGAGTCCCCAGTACGATAAGGTTCAGGCGTCCATCCAGCAGCGACACGTGCTTTGAAAGGGAGACTGAATGACGCTATGTAGAATGTGAGAGCAACACTCTCCAAGAAGCAGCTTACGCATTTGGTTCTCCCCTGACCTGACACACTTAGTTAAAACAATCAGGTAGAAAGCAAAACAGAAGGCAAACAGCAGGAGACAGAGGTGAAGGTTAGAGTCACGGGGTAAAAAAAGAAATCAAAGGTGGCGTAACCGTGCTCGCTCCCATACACGCCTGTGCCTGCCACTCAGTGACATGAGCCTCCGGTCAAGCTGTGATCTTTCTGAGGACAATGTAGTTCCAGCTCTGATTTTTTCTGTTTCCCAAAACTGTAGCCCATTCTGGGGTGTTTTATTTATCTTCATCAGCTACTCACTATGTTTACAAGGATATCGACGTTTTATTTTCCAACATGGAGACAAGAGAGTAGCCATCATAAAAGCAGAGAAGACTGAGTACAGTGAGACAGGACCTTGATTTACGCTGAGGACCTCTGGAGGTTACTCAAGGTCCTGTCCCATCTTGTCTGGGGGCACCTGTGGCAGCTGGTGGGGCCTCCAGAACCTGTGCCCTCCCCACTGGGCTTCGTGATCTCCTGGACTTCAGAGTTTGGAGGACACTCAATGAAGAAAACCTTTCATTCTGGAGACAGACCAGACCATTCAACAGTTCAAATTCTAAACCCTACCTATAAACACAGGAAATATCAATACAAGGCTTCTCCCTCTCCTTCCAACAGTCCATTGTGCATCAAGTCACTAAGCACTTCCATCACAAGCTGGGGCTGCGTTTAGCCTGCTGGAGCCTGGCCCCCATCCCAACCCCTTGTGCTGGCCACTGCCCTTCTGGTCTGGCTCTTCAAAGCTTCCCAGCAGGAGAGCTTCTGCCTGTGGTCCTAGTGCCCTCCTGCCTGTCTAGAGGGCATCAGACTGCAGTTCCCGAGCACAGGTGACTGATCGGAGCAGGACAGAGCCAAGGAAGGGCCCTGGGCCCCTGCCCCACACATGCCTTTGTGCAGAAAAGGCCCCTGCCCCAGTTGTAAGGTATCCCAAGGGAAAGGCTATTTACTGCACAGCGGTGGAAGCTCTATCAAGAAAACTAAATGGCGTTCTCATGCCAGCTTCTCATCTGCTCTCCCTCACACACATGCAGCAGTGCTCCAAGGAACAACTCCTGTGAGCTCTGGGAACATATTCCACAAGATAAAGGCAGAGACGCATCAAGCACTGCGATTCCTAATCAACTAAGCTGAAGTTGCCAGACAAAGCTGAAATACCAGGCAGCAGTTACAAGTCACCTGGCAGAATGCTTCCAGGACGAGGAAATACCTTGAGAACTAAACGCAGGAATGTAGGGGAACAGGTATAAATTCACCTGGTCTCCGATGTAGATTAAGAGATAGACTTAGAGTACCTTACAGAAACTAACGAAACTTTGACATATATTTTAAAACCAATATGGAACACCCAAATAAGAAAACACTGATGAAAAAATTCATGGGGGGGTGGGGAGCTGGAGTACCTTCCTGGTGCCTTGTTAATCCCTGGCCTCTCTTAGAACCCAAGCAGGTGTGCAGTATCTTAGTTCTAAAAACCCAGTAGAGGACGTGGTCGATGTATTACCTACTAAATAGGAAACTCAGTTCTCTACGACAGAATTGCCACTGCTACCATCTGGGCCATTGGGGGCTCCCCTCTAGAAATTTCTTGTACTGGAGAACAAAGGGATAAAGAGCAGAAAAGAGGGAAAGAAAACTATGTGTGCACTGATGTTTAAGGTTCATCTGTTATTTCCTTTTTCTCCACACAGGAACTTAAGTTCAGATGATAGATTCAAATGCTTGATGACAGGACAACAGTCCTTCTGGGAGCGAGGTTCTGAGCCAGATCCCAGAAGAAATTTCTCTCCCGTGATTCTCATCAGCCCTAAGCAAATGAAGGAGGTAGGCAGGTACCAGAGATAACCCATGTATAAATCCATCTCAAGTTCTCATTGACAAAAACCCTTCATAACTTCACGATCTTGAGAAACAATTAAGACAACTGAGAACTGAAGAATTCTATGGGTGCTGAGCTTTATCCTCTCTGTCCCAAACCAGGTTTAAGGCTTTTTGATTATATGACTTAGATACTATATGATTTGACACAGATGGAACAAATGCTTATGTAAGAAAGAGAGATACCACACAAATGAATAAGGTGTGAAAACATGAGCAAACTTAAACTGGTAGACTGATCCCAACTTAAATACACTTAGATGATATCAAAACTTGAAAATTAGCAATCCTTAAATTATTATCTGTAACTTCAAATGGCAGTCACAGTTATTATTGATCCAAAGAAATGTTTACAACGTAGATTTACTTGTATTTGGTGATTTCATATTAAAAGTGATGTAACAGAATTTTCAGAGAAATGAGACTACTAGTATTTACACTGAATTGCTCATTACATCCTTTTTTAATAGCCACAGATTGAGGACCGATAAGTTGGTAGACTGTAGTGCATTTTTAAAAGCACTTCAAATCATAATGTTAACCTATATAGGTATTTATAAATGAGTTTCTTTTCCCCACTTTTAAGAAAAACTTATGTATATAATTAACCCACTTGTTTAAAACAGATGGGGAGCAAA